AGACTCTATGATTACAAAATACATCACAAGTAGTGAGTGATGAAATAATATGACAACTGTGTATTTTAATACCGCAAATGTGCATATGCGCAGTTTCGTTGAACATGTAGTAAACTTATGCACTGAGTGTAGAGGATTCGTCGGGCAGGGGGGAGATTTATTTCGAAAATATACACAGAGAGATGTGATTTAAGGAGCTGTCTACGAGAAACAGTTCTATCTTCTGGCGTTTTGCCTCGGCTACACTTATATTCAATCACCCCAGTAGTGCATACATCGCTTAGACAAAAAATGCTGCTGATAAACCGACGGTTCATCAGTAACCATCGTGTACACAATATTACATAATATTTGCAAAATCTTTGTAATAGAGATTCCAGACTGATCCAAGACTTTATTCTTTTCACATGAAACATGTTCAGTATTTGTAGGGTTGCTCCAATAAATCAGCCCTATATCTACCTACCATTGTATGAAGGCTGGATGAATGTATAGATTACTGGGGAAGCAAGTGTTGAATTACTGGAGTTTATTCTCAGCTCATATCACAGAAAAATCTACACCGCCATGACGGTATACTCTAGCAGGTACACTGACAAAGAATTGATGATTGATGAGTAGGGATGCTCTACTTTATATCACTTACACGAATGGAACAAACAGTTAACGAGTACACTGACCTATAGAAAAATTAGAAGTAATTGTCTATCGAGATTTCGCAATCACATGTACACTTTTCTCTTCTCGAGTGCATTTAAGGTATGACGAGACATTCAAAATACATCATTTACAACAATATCAATGTACAATGATTTTCAAGAGATGTGGAGTTATTTTCAGTGTGTCTATTCACATCGCCAAACTAATTTGTCAGGAGTTGTATCGTCAAGTGGATACCAAGCAGGCTGTACAACTACAAGGATTCCATCGACACGGAATTCATTGTTTGTAATAGTGTGTTGTATACAGTAAATGGAGCAATCTAAACATCTCCTGCACACTTACAAAATGAAGACGTGTGGAAGTTTTGAAGAATATGTGACAACAGATGGATATTACAGCTCCAAGCATCATGCATGCGCATGCAGCGGCACACAGTGATAGCTTCTGGTATCAGAATATTTATTTGATGGAACGACGTATAGTTATGGCGAAATGCAGACATTATATTATAATATAATTATTCGTATTGTGCGTCTTTTTTTCAGCTGATTAAAAATGCCCATTAAAATTTTCAAAAGAATGGATATTGAACAAAGAATATTCTTTTCGATAGCCTGCACTTCATCAGGTTCTACAGTTGTATACACATAATAGAGCATGAATGAATTAGTGTTATGAACGAAATTAATATCGTTTAAATAGCATCGAATCAATAATAATAGTAGTAATAATAATAATATTAATGGATTACAGTTCGACAGCATCAACATAACAATACACTGAGTGAATATCAGACAAATTGGGAAAAATAATAATTTTATTTATTTTGATTATAGCTTGACTCCACACCGTATTTTTGGTACAAATATGGAATTTTCAGCATGTGATATCGGTAGCCCGAATTTTGCAGGCCGACCATTGATATCAGGTGTGCGTCGGCAGGAGGTCGAACCCCGGACCATTTGCGTGTCCAGTTAGAGTCCTAACCGCTGTGCTACCGACGCACAAATTCGTGGTAGTGGATGGCTGGAACTGATTTTTCTCCACACAGGCGAATCTCGACAGTCTCTGCTGTTTGGAGTATGCGGTAACTGGATGTTTTTGCCAATTTGTTTTGTACCCGATAGCCGATGATGGAGAAGAACTCTTCAATGTTAGCTTTTTCGCTGGTTTGGACCAGGTGTCTGAATGTTGAGCTATTGATGCTTATCACTATAATTTTATTTAAGCACACTGGTAAGTGTTCTCGAGCGAGCACGAAAAATCGAGTTCCTAGAGTAACGGCCAATATAACTCGCTCTGCAAGCGCAATTGAATTTCTAGATACAACTAGAAGTGACTTGTCTTGGTACTTCATCTTCCTTTTGGGGAATCGCCACCGACCGTGTTTAAAATAATACTTTTAGTTTGCTAGCGTTAAAAGTTCTTTGAATTGATTTTTTTAATTTCTTCTTAATTAATTCGCTATGTAGATCGTCCTTGAAATGCAATCGTGTGTATAAAGACTTCTTGTCAACGGAAAGCGATTAGTTCTCAACTTTCTTAGTCATACGTTTCCTGATGAATTTGTTTGGATAACTATTTTCAATCATTTAAGGTATCATATACAACCCTTAGCTCATCTTCAGTTACCTCTTCTGAGCGTATATCTGTCACCCTGTGGCTGAAGGTCCTTACTAGATTTCTTTTGTACTGCAGGGGAACGAAGCTATGAAAATGTGTTTATTGTCCTGTCCATATATTTGTCCTATGCAAACTTCTCATTAAACTACCATATGGTTTTCCTGTAAGGAGGACATCTAGGAAGGCAATTCCATTTCGGAATTCCTCTCCGCTCGTGAATTTCATAGGAGAATGTACTTCATTGAAATGAGTTAGTATTGTGTTCCTTTCCGAATCATTATCACAAAGAATGAAGGTGTCATCCATATACTAGCAATAAAATGTGAATTTTCTGATATGGATCTGTGCAAATGACCATTTTCTAGCTTACCTAGGAAGATATCTGCCAAAATGTGGAACCGATTGCCACCCTTTCCACTTGTCTATAAAGCGTGCCATCAAATTTGAAATTTACATTCGTGGTTCACTTCAGTAACAATTGTTTTAGGATTTCCGTCAGGATGCCAATATTTATCGACTAGTTATACACTTGCTGATATATGATGCTAACCAATTCTACTTGAGATACATTTATGAATAAAGATGATATGTCCAAAGATATCATAGTTTCATCCTTGATATTAATATCTTTGATTTTGTCTACAAATTCAAATACATCTTTGCCACTATATTTCACTATCCACTCATGCAAAGGTTTGGGAATACTTACTAACCATCTAGCTAGACCATAGTAGTTCTAAGTGGGTTACAAAGCTATGGTGAAGAGTCCGTCTCCATCATTAACTATCAGGTACAAAACATTTGGTAAAATCATCTATGTATTGCATATTCCAAACAGTAATAGCTATCACGATTCGCCTGAAACAACCGGTGCTCTGTGTGGAGAAGAAGCAGTTTCAGTCAGCCACTACTACTGCCCTGGCCTTCAGTGGAGACTATAAATTCATGAATTTGTATTATTATTTTTCTAAATTTTTCTGATATTCACTAGTGTAGTGTTATGTTGATGCTATCGAACTGTAATCCATTGATATTATTATTATTGAATCGATGTTATTTAAACAATAATGTTGTTCATAACACTAATTCATTTATTCACTATTATGTGTATACAACTGTAGAACCTGATGAAGAGCAGGTTATCGAAAAGAGTATTCTTTGTTCAGTAACCATTTTTCTTTATTTTTTATGTTTTCTTAATGCTTCGACGGAGTTCCTCAATTATATGTATCGCAACTTGATAAGTCGCTGCACTACCAGGTATTCTTGTAGATCTCATAAACAATAGTCTACACACCGAGTGTCGTCAAATGAGCATGGTACATTCGATACAACGTCAAAATGCCTCGACCGGAACACTTCATTCCTTCTTGGTTTCGCTACCACTTGTTACAATTGATTTAGTCCCAAGACTTTTATCTCATCCATCTCTGAAATTCGTTATCATAAAACATTTCTCTTCGTTTAACGTTCTGCTGTATGACCTCGACCATACCTGCCTCTTTTTATGAAAGTGTTTTCTCCTTCTAACTTTGAAAGAAGTTTTCGTGAACCTGCTCTGTAGTCTTTGTGTAAATATATTTTTCCCTCTCACGTGTTTACGTTTTCAAGTGGAAATAGCCAGCTGTAAAATTAGGTAGCATTTTTTCATGCCGTTGTCAGCGTAGGCAAGCAACAGTCATGATCACTGCGTCTGTTGCGTCACCTAGGGCACTCCTACCAATTCGACCAAACTCTAGAGATATATAAAACTTTGTTTATAGTAAAATTCACACAAACTTAAATCTGTCATTCAGTAGATAGATGTATAAGTGACCCCCTTGTCTGAAATCATCATCATAAAAGATAGATACGTATATATGGCCTTTATCCATTATTGCCCACAGTTTATGCAAAACAAACCTTTCACTGAACACCAGTAACTAGTGTGATGTGTCTAGTCCTATCTTTGGTGCAGACTGAATCCAATCAGTCAAGTTTGTAATGTGGCCACCATTCTAGATAGCTCACCATCACGGTTCACTTTGAATTGTTGGTGTTAGATGGTTAGAGGCGATCAGCAGGAAGCCTTGACTAGACCTAGGTTTCGTCCTAGTTGGCACTTTCCAGCCAACCTTGAAGGAACTCATATCCATCCTGAGATTCTAATCCGCGTCACCCAGTGCTGCCTGCAGTCAGAGACGTGATGGCGAGCTACCTAGACTGGTAGCTACATTGCAAACCTGACTGACAGAATTCAGTCTGCACCAAAGATAGGACTAGACACACACACACATCACACTAGTTACTAGTGTCCAATGAAATTATCCAATACAGTCCTACAGGAAGGAAGTCAATCGCCAGCCCGAATACCTCAGTGGTAACATCTCTGACTGCAGGTTGCACTAGGTGACCTGGGTTCGAATCACAGAAGAGGGAAATGAGTTCTTCCGAGCTTTCAGATACTCCTTGCTGACCAATGAGTGTCAACAAGCACGAAACCTAGGTCGGGCAAGGCTTCCTGTGACCGATTGCCACCAAACCGTCTAACAACAACAATACAAACCTTACTTGATGTCTAATAATTACCTCAAGAATGATGCCATCCTGAATTATATTTTTTTTTTGAATAATTGAAATTTAAATGAAAGCGAAACAGATTTGTTTAAATAAATAAATTAAAAAACAAAACAGAAAACAAGATAACAAGATCAAAAAATAACAAAAATAAACGTTACGTTGGAGGGAGTGATGGCTATCCATTTTTTAAGTCAATATTCTTATATATTAAATGAAAAAATTATCCCATTCTCTTTTTTTGTTTATATGTATATGTATACAGATATGTAGGCGCATAATGAGAAGAAAAAAAATTAAAGTTTTCTTATTTTCTCTCCATTGACAACAGGATTTTCACGTTGTATTTCTCTATGTGCCTCCTCTTGATAATCATATGTACATTCATGTCGATCAGTATAACGATGATATGCACAGAAGGTATTACCACATCTACAGTTCATGCCTTAAATCAAAAGGGTGTTTTAAAAAAATGATTTTGTCAAAGGGTTATTATTACTATTATCATTAAATTAATAAACAGAATAATTAGAGTGAACAAACTGTCATTACCAATAAATTCTTCTTCTTAGGCTCTATAAATGCTGTGGACTCTACTTCATACTGGATCTACAAGTTCACCTGGGTAGCTTGAAAATCCCCATTGAGTCATATATGAAAAAGAGAAGACGTTCAGCCAAGAGACTCTTTTCAACGGCAAATTCATTCACTCTTAGCTGTACAATCGCATTTATATATAATTATTTGTGTGTGTGTGTGTGTACATGAGGTTTGTTAAGTTCAGATAATTGATCAGGTAACACAAGAATGGTCACAGGATTTTCATCATGAGCTGAACTTAGTTAGAGAACCACTGGAAAACCTGGGATTACTGGACAGCTGTTTCGTCCTAGTTTGGGACTCTTCATCAGTACGCACCCACCGGGATTCGAACTTAGAACCTTCTGGTTACAAGGCGAGCTAGTTCGTATACCATTAAGCCACTGGGACGCGATCCAATGGCCAGTCCATGAATTCTAACTTCTGCCAATTCACGACATAGCGCGACCCCTAGCCAATGTCTTCGGCGAGTATTTGTCCTCACACCCGACCTGCTGCACCCTACTGGTCACGACTTCTCACTAGAACTGGCAGAAGTTAGAATTCATGCGCCATTGGATCGGGTCCCAGTGGCTTAATGGTCTACGAGCTAGCCTTGTAACCAGAAGGTTCTGGGTTCGAATCCCGGCGGGTGCGTACTGATGAAGAGTCCCAAACTAGGACGAAACAGCTGTCCAGTACTCCCAGGTTTTCCAATGGTTCTCTAACTAATGTCAGTTCATAATGATAATCCTGTAACCAATCAAATCCCTACAAACCAACACTTGAATAACACAAGAATGATCTAATATTGAAACAAGGTTAATCATACAGCAACTAAAGTAAGTTTGAATTAGTAAGTTAGATGACGTAATATAATTGACTAAAATGTTTCAACTTAGGTCAGGGTAGCAACAGAGGTAATTACAGGTAGAGACTAAGTAGAAGTGGGGTAGAGAATAATGCCATTTAAGTTAGAACTGAAATTGAGCAAATAAATTGGATGACGTAACATAAATGACTAGAAATTGAGCGTTGTTCAAGTCAGTAATAGTGGTAATAAGGTGTAGAAATTAAATCGGGTGGGGATAGAGAACAGAAAAGTTGAAAATGCAAAATATTACAATAGAGAAGACAAAATAATACTAATGAAGAGACAGAAAAAAAGAGATTAGGTAGAATTTACTTATCGGGTAATAAGATAGATTACGTCCATTGCAAGTGTAGTGATTGAACGAACTTCTTCTGTATGCAGAGTTCAGGACTTAGCGAGTGAATCGCCATTGCTTCTGCAGTTTGAAGAAGTCTGATTCGTACACCTTTATGAAGACTACTTCTTATTCTGTAGACAACTTTGAAGTTTGTTTGCGGTGTAGCTTGGTGTCCGGATTCTATCAAATGTTCTAAGATGGAGCTGCGTGGGCATCGATTTTCTCCTTTATAAAACCATGTTGGTAAGTGTTCGGTGATACGTTTGGAAAGTGAGCGCTGGGTACGGCCGACATACCTGGCTCCACACGAGCAAGTGAACTGATAAATACACATTGATGAGGTAAGCAGTGGTAGCTTATCCTTCACGTTCACATGAATCATAGGTTTTGTGGAGAAGTTTAGTCGTAGTTCAGCTGCGAAGAAGATCTTCTTAAGTGAGCGCGACAGTCGATTTTTTAGTGTTTCCGCAGATATATCTCCATTGAATTGAAGGTTCATGTGGAGTATTTTTTCGGGACGCTAAGCATGGGCGGCTTTTGTGGTCTAGGATTGATAGATTTTGCAATAAATCTTTCTGGATAACAATTCTCGACGAAGATTCTCTTGATATTGTCCAGTTCATCTTCTATGGTGTCTGGGGTGCAAATTCTGCAAACTCTGTAGCTTAGTGAACGGATCAGGTTTCGTTTGGTGTATAGGGGTACCCAACTGTGAAAGTTAGTAAGCTGTCCGTTCCACGTCGACTTTCTGTGGATAGGCCTTTTCAGTGTTCCATCCTGTTCTCGTTTTGTTAGTTGGAATTCAAGAAAGGATATTTTGGAGTTGGACTCTTTCTCCAGCGTGAACTGAATCGCGGGGTGGCAGTTGTTAAACAACTTCAAAACGACTTCTATTTTAGATCATTCTTGTATTACCTGATTAATTATCTAAACTTGACAAACCTCATGTACACACACACACACAAATAATCATGTATAAATGCGATTATACAGCTATGTGAATGAATTCGCCGTCGCAAAGAGTCTCTTGGCTGAACGTCTTCTCCATTTCAAAGTTCACCTGGAGTTCGGGAGATACAGGTATAGGTTTAACCAATAGAATATTCTAATGTCGTCGAAAAGAACATGTTCTCAAATGTTAGTTGGTGGATGGTGACTAGCAGTGGAATCCAGCCAGAACGCACATTTCGACGAGAAAATCTAGAAGTGAATTAAATAATTAATATAACCCGCTGCACAAGAGGTAGCCAGCTCTCGTGGCCCAAATGGTCTAGGGGGTAACGCTTTAGAGTTTGAAACTGTGGGCACTGGTTTCCAGCCTCAGTGGGAACATCATCACTCACTACGGAATGCAGGTACATCCAGCTTGCAGACGAGTCCCGAGTAGGACGAAATGCGCGTTATCCAGCATTCCAGTGCTAGTCACCATTCTTCAATTCACTTCTAATTGCATGCTCAGACATCGCTGAAGCATCTGTACAAGAAGCCGACATGTCAACCTGAGACCGAACATTTCGGTCCAATCAATTGAGAGGAAAATCTAAAATTGAATTAAATGTTCCAAAATGGTTATTAAAACAGTTGGAAAATCCCAATGCACTCATTAATGTGAATAGAAATCCATCATCATCACCCATTGCAAAGCACTTAGTAATGTCAGGTCACAAAATCAATATTAATTAATGACTGCTTCAGAATTATTTCATGGTTAATAAAGGTGATGGAAGCACTTTGGATTCGTTGTATACATCTTTAACTATGTTTACAGAAAACAGTAGACTTCAACCTTCTTTTGTCTACCATGAACTACTTGACCTATTTAAATATGACTGGTCATTAGTATGTACTTTTGTTTTATACAAACCTGAGTAATTGTCATGCATTTCATTTTATCATTATTGTGAACCATGTTAGTTGTAAAGCGATTATAAGAAAACTACGAAATGACGAAATCTATCTTCGAAATGCTTTATTCAAATTTATCAAATGGACTACTTGTTTTAATAAATCCATTAATTAATTTAAGCATACAATAGTCAGCCTGCCAGTAAAGGCAAATTAGAATCATATCAGAAATGTGTATTATGAAACAAGTATAAGATGGGATAGAACAATAGTCAGTTAGTTTTGAATATGCATGGTAAATGAGAACATGAGACAAATTAATATTAAGGCAACACCACATCATCGCTGTTATTTCATAACCATTATTTGCATAAAGCAAGAACCACAGTTTTTGCACAGTAAAATGGCACCGCCATGCCGTCATCCGTGGGGCCGTCTTCAGTGCTTCGGGAGGAATGCCGTATGGTCCTGCTACCTTCCAGGCTGGTATTCAGTAGCATGATCACATACAGGATTTCTTCCTTCGTTCGAGGACTGGTGTCCACTGGAAGGCATTTCCATATGTGCTGTTGGTGATATTTCTGGTCGAGTTGCCGGTAGTGGTCGATTCAAAAATCCTTTGATGTGATCGGCACATTGTTTGATTTGTTTCTCCTCCTTGGTGATTAGGTTCCCTTAATCATCCTTTATTGGTTTCATCATCTGGGTTGATCTCTTCCCGGATAGAGACCTGGTTATCAGATATAGCGTCCTGATGTCTCTTTCACCTGCTGCCTGTTCTGCTTCAGTTACCAGCCAGTGTGTCGTAGAACTGTCGTTTGTCTTTTCCAGCACTCTTCTTCACTTCTTTATTCAGTGCAGTTTACATTGAACTCAGCTTCTCCTTCTGTTGTCCATCTTTGCATTGGGTCATCTTCTCTTTCACCATCCATCATTTCTCTCCTCGATTAGCTTCCAGGTAGGTGTCTGTTGACAGACACTCCTTTTCTTGTCTCTTCCTTCTTCTTAGAACAGTTGTACAAGTTTCCTTAAATACCACTTTGAGAGAGTTCAAATGTTTTTCCACATAGGTTTCCTCCTTGATGCCACGTAGTGCGTCCGACTTTGCTGTGATCTGATCTGTAGCGAAGGCATCCCTTAAAGTTTTATCCTTCAGTTTCTGAATGTTGAACTTGAATTGTGTCTGTCTCTTCATTATCAGTTATTAGCTCTAAGCATTTCGTTCTCAATAAATTATGGGAATATTCCAGTTACCGATATTGATAAACCTCTATTGAGATTTGAAATAAAGCTTTCAGTGAGTAAGTTCATTGCTAACACTCTTAGAATATTATTTAATTAGGCAGTCAACTGATTCAACTTAGTGTCTGGTCCCATGTGCTGGCATAGTTCAGCTTCAGATATCCAAGCTGCGCGAATATACCACCGATAGTGGAATGAGTAACTGAGCTGTAAAAGAAGTTTGGACACGTAGCTCAAAGCTGACCCTAATTTTTGTTTAACCTAACTTGTGTGACAGTTTCTTTAGTGTTAAACATCACACTACTTATCACTAGAAAGTAGTATGAGTCTGTATATTTTTACCTGGTTGTAACTCCTTTATCAGTAGTTTTTTGCTGTTGAGATTTATCTGAATTAGTGTTGTATTCATATTCTGTTCGATGTATATTATGCATCTTCTTTGTAGTTAAACATTATCTGCTTCAAGTACTTTTTCTAAATACCATTTACTGTGGAACATTGTTAACTCAAATGCTTTTATTCTTTTTCCGGCATTCGCACTCTGTTTAATCAACACGTGGATCACCTTTGACACAGTAGCTTTGCTGTTTTTCTTACTGACACACAGAGACAGTGAGTTTCACGACATTCAGTCATAAGTGCCTCACAATTTGAGGTCTGAATATTATGTTCATAATTTATGGATAATATAGCATCGTATTCTAGACAAATCATAAGCTTTTGGAGTTTTGACACGTAAATCAAACGTTTGGTCAAGTTAATCCATAGAATTATCGCTCAGGATTTTTTAGAAGATATCTGCAATCTTAATTTATCCTTCAGCAACCCTACTATCTTCTTAATTAAGTGGACCTGACCCTTACCTATCCCTATCATAAGCCTAATCAGATATCCTGTTAAACATAATTACATTTTTCAGGTATTGGTGTTTTAGGGATTTGTTTGATTAAATTGGAAGATTTCATCATGAGCTGACACCCAGTTAGATAACCATTAGAAAGCCTGGGAGTACTGGACAGCTAGCTGTTTAGTCCTAGTTTGGGGCTCTTCATCAGTACATTTCACTCAACACTTGTTTCCATGATTACAGTCTTATTTGTCTGAGTGTTACATGGACATCGGCTCGTTTGCAAATGTTCGTTGTCTAAAGTTTAACTTCTACTGCTATTGTGGAGCTACGTATGAAGGATATTCGTTGAAAAACACTCCTCTTCGTCTTCAAGAGCACTTCGCAGCCAATCCGAGCAAAGGACAGCATAAAGCCATTCATTATTCCATATTACAACATCTGTATTAGATGTTGACCACTCAGCTTCTAATGCATCCTTTACTATTGTCTACAACGCCTAACGAAAGGTGTACAACTGTATCTTCTTTGCAAAGTGATATTCTTGACAACATACAAGGGAATCACAAAGCCTTACATGTAGTTCGCACTATCATTTTTGTTGACTTGGACCTAGTTTGATCATGCAGTTCATAAAACTTCATTATAAAGCATGCTTTTTCATTTTATTTGAATTTTTGTGCTAACATTCTCACATTTTATCTTACTAACACTTTTCGGTTCATTTTCTCTACCTATCTTACTACAAATGACCTGATAAATTCGTATTTCTCATTTCCAAATATGTCTGATCTGTTGAACTCTGTTTCAAGTGGAGCATAGGGTTTGAAACTTGAACTGTGAAGTAGCAGTAGTAGCGGTTTCTTTTCACGGAGTGAATTTAATACCGTAACGCCCAACCTCCCCTCTTTACCAGGTTTAACATTGGTTAGGTGAGTTTGAGGAGTTCGTCGATCAGTAGTTGGGTCCATGACCACGTGAGGCGTAGTTGGAGAGTATTCTACTGACGAACTTCGTATTGATCTTTCTTTATTTATGAGTCATATTTCTAATCACTTAGTAATTCGTAATGGTAATCCCCTAAATGAATATATCTGCTACACTCTGCAAACGGGACAAGCTTAGGGTTTCAAACATTAGTGACAAATCAGTCAGTGCTTACATATGTTTCAGGGAGTTGCAAATACTTTCATCAAAAGCTGTCCTTTTTCGATACTCAAGATCAGATGACCAGGAAGAAATAACAGCAGGGAACTCTAGGAAAAGACCAACCACAACAGAAGTACGCATAAAGAAATGCAGATGTATTGGATACGCTCTTGGTCGATCCTCGAGTGGAACCTGAATGGAGAACTATGAGTTAGGAGTCCATGGGTGGCACTGAATAGTGATCGTGTGAGAAGAAGACAGGATCTTATACGTAATCGTAGTGGTAACTAGAATGAAGATAGATGTCTTGTTTAAGCTCTGTGTTCCACTCGTAACCCATTAAAACACTTCTAAAGTTCCATTCACTGTCATATTCCAGCACATATATAAATACAGTTACACAATTATGAAAATATAACCCTAAAACTTGTTCGAATCAACAGACAAATTATGAAGTGAATTAGATTTTCAACCTAGCACAAACGTACAGTAGTTCAAATTTCCACACTTCATAAGGTTAAGAAAAATGAATAAATCAAATGCAAAGAAACAAAACACTAAAAGTTATACTGGAGGAAGTATAATGGTGACTCTAAACCATACCAGCCCAGAGCGAAACTACCTAATGATGAACGGATGAATGACCTTGTGCAACCCATCATACGAGTCTGTAGTATATAGAGGGAATTGTGAATGCTGTACACGATTATGTAGGAAATTTCATCCAAATTTAATTTTCTAAGTGCTACTTAAACAACAGGCTGGTTCACTGGAAGGGAGAAGACGTGTAGCCAACTGTCATCCCTGGGCTACTTTGACAACAGGGTCAATCATAAGGGTGATTTCGTTAATCCTTTCGATAGGGCTCACAAAAATTCCTATCGAAATTTTCTGGAGTCACCTAAAAATGAGGATCACAGAGGTGAATGGATGGGTGAAGAAACACGATGATTCACAGTTATCTAGACGAATTCATGTGTACAGAAATTGGTTTAACCTGACTATGAGGACTCCTAAGACAGGCTAGGAGGTTTACTTGAATCATATACAGGAATGTTATCCTATATAACCATTCTGTAACATTGCATTACCTGTCTATAGACATTTATTTGAAAATAAGCACTTCTAATTCGGATGCATCTGATTGGCCGATAGAGATTTGTCAACGTCTTTATTGCCCTGTTCGTTTTGGGCTGCAATAATTTAAAGTCAACAGCATAATTACATGAAGAATAATGACGACGTATTGCGTCTCGAAGATGTCAAAACAGTGAAGGTATTTGTGTTATGAAATTTGTAAGGGGATATAACTTATCTCTCTTAATAGTATAAAGAGGAATAGTTGACTGTATGGAAATATACTGACCCATTTACGTTGATCTATCATTATTATTATTAACTGGCAATGAAATAATTTGCGACGTATGATTCTGAATTTCTATTCAGGTTAAGTAAATCTGGTTTTTCTATACGACTTAATAACCATTTAGGAACATGTTCTTTCCTACGATATTGGAACAGTTTATATTGCTTCCACCTATGCATGTGCCACCATAAATGCAGGTGAACTTGTAGATACATTTCTGAAGTTCACACAACTTTGTCCTTTAAACGAGTTGTTACGATTAATAGACTAAATTCTGCACATTGTACTTCATACTGTATATACAAGTTAACCAGGAATTGGGGTGAAACATGTATAGGTAGAACTAATAGAATGTGTTTAATTTCGTTGAGAAGAACATATTCCTCAATAGTTACTAAGTCATGTAGAAAATTCAGATGTAATTAATATGAACAAAAATTCAAAATCACCTGTTACAAAGCATTTGGGTAAATTTGGTCATAATATCAATGAAGTATTGAATAATTTTCAGAGATGCGTTTGGAAAGTGTGCGCGCTTTGTGCGGCCAATATATCTAGCTCCATACGAGCAGGTGAATTTATGAACACCCATTGAAGTGGCCCAAAGCAACAGTTTATCCTTCACACATCCATTGATCATTTGTCGGCTGTAGAAATTGATCTGTAACTCAGCCGTAAAAAAGGCTTTCCTCAAGGATCTACACAAGCGATTCTCCAGAATTTCAGCTGCGGTATCATCTTTAAATTCAACGCTCATAAATAGCAGTTTCTTCGGCACCGTCTGGGTTGTTTCGGGTTTTTGTTTTACTTTTATGTTTATCTCGATGAATTTTGAAGGAAATGCATTCTCTATGAGGACTTGTCTGAGTCGCCCCAGTTCCCCGTCAATTGTATCATGGGAACATATCCTTCTTATTCTTGAGGATAAGGAGTGGATTAGGTTTCGCATTCTTCTCAAAAGGGCCCAACTATGAAAAATCGTGTTCTGACCATTCTATGTTGGTTTCCTATAGATCAATCTTTGAAGAGAACCATCAGATTTCCTTTTTAGAAAATAAAGAGCCCAAAATGATGCCGAAGAAACTGCTATTTAATGAGCATTGAATTTAAAGGTGATACCGCAGCTGAGATCCTGAAGAATCGCCCATGCAGATCACATAGGAAAGCTTTCTTTATGGCTGAGCTACGGATCAGTTTCTACAGCCGACAAATGATCAATGAATGTGTGAAGGATAAACTTCCGCTTTGGGCCACTTCAATGTGTACTGAATAATTCTTCGAAATTATTGACAAAAAAGGTAAAAATAATAACAATAATAATTGTATGTTAAATAATTATCTTACCAGTTAAACCCAGACGTTTTCTGCATATATAACATTTACTGCCTGGAGGTGAAAGATCTTAGGAAAATGAGAAAGACAGAAAGAAGGAAATTACACATACACAATAGCAATTGTTTTAATGTTAAATAATAATTACACTTTTAGACGATATGTTAAATGAAAAGGGAGAGGAACGGAAATATAATTAGGTATTATTATTATATATTGACACCCTACTGACGAAACAAAGTAGAACTTCATACTAATGTATGTGTAAAACTTGGGCACTGCGGTAGTAAGTAATTCCATATTAGTTTGTTTATTAGATGTATCACACAGTCAGTGAAACAGTATTATTTACTGGATGACGTTTCGAAGGATCCTGTGAGACCTTTAAAACAAAACAATTTAGTTTATCTAATACCCTGCAATGATTGTCAGGTCAAATACATAGATCAAACCAGTATAACAGAGCCAGTGAGACATTAAAACCTAGCAAAATCTAGATTGGTTGACCTAAATAAGATCAGAAATCTAGAGAATAGCTGAGCTAAATCACTCACTATATGCAATTATACACAACCATACAATAGGATGGGATAGGATGACAGTTTTAAAATCTAATGTCACAGGGTGGAGGGAGAGATTGATAACAGAAGCTT